GCTGGCAGGCGTTCCCTGAGGCCCCGAATTCACGAGCTTCGAGGATGGGCAGGGGGGCCCTCGCGAAGAGGGTGTCCATCGGTCGAGGAGGCCTTCGCGGACTGCCCGTGGATCGATGCAGATGTCGGCCCCGCTGACAGGGCGTGGGATGTTGGGGGGGGCTCGCCATGGAGGACGACGGCCCCCCGAACCCTCGACCGCAGGAGCGGTCTGGCACCGAGATTTATCGGCCCATCGCAGCGAGGGTGCTGGTGGAGATCCTGTGCGGCGCGCGCGTGGCTAGGAATGATCTGCCGAGGGTGCTCTGTGTCCTGGCTTCGTGCGTCGCCGCGTGGATTGAACAGCGGGGTATTTAATTCTGCCGATTGGTATGCTGCGTCATGGCGACGGCGCATTTTCGCGCGGTGTCTTGTGTCTGCGATGATCTGGCCGACGCTTGGATCAAGCAGTTCGCTGACGCAGATTTGGCCATTGGCATCGGGGTCCGCCGCGGCACCAGTGCCAGCGCCGAGAGGCTCGGGGGGCCAAACGCGGGGGCCCTCCAGCGCTGCAACTCGCGGCGGCAGACCGCCGCCGCCCGCGGCGCGCTGGGTGCTGATATTGTCTCCGCGGACGCGGTGGTCAGGAGAGAACTTCTGCCCGGCTTGCCGTTGTGCGGGGGCGACTTCTTGGCCGCCCGACGAAGGCCGAGCTCGTGGGGGACATCCGGACAGTCGCGAAGGCATGCGAATATGGCGGTTCATCTGCCGCGGACCGGCCGCGTAGATGATGCCGCGGTTGCGGTGCATTTCGGGGGAGGTATCATCGACCTGGCCCGCTGCCCGACGCGGGGCCAGGCGGCGCGCCGAGAGGCTTGAGCGACCTCCGTCTTGGATCAAGGTGGTCTACCTCGTCCAGGCTGTGTCTCCGAGTTTCTGGTCGCCGCCCAGTTGCCCGAGCTGCGTGGGTCTCTCTCTGGCGGTGAAGGAGCACTCCCCGTGGGGCCCGGGGCCGTCCTCATGCCGAGGATTGGGCCGCGATCCGCGCTCGCGACTTGCGGCCGGGTCGCCGGCGAGAAGGCGATGAAGGAAGCCAGATGTCCGAGCGAGGGCAATCGCCCGACGGGTTTCGCGACGTCAATTTTCAAATAGCGTGCGCTCGCCGCGTCGGTCGCGCCGAATTCGCTGACCGTTGCGCGCGCGTGCCTGGGTTGGCGCGGCCGCGGGGTTTCGCCAGCCAATGCCGAGCATGCATCACAATCGCCACCGCGTGGGTTTTGCAAGCCCAAGTGTGGGTGGGTGGGATGCTCGCAAGAGCGTGGGATGTGTCGGCTCGTTTGTTGAAATCAGTTGTGCCGCGTAGAGTGCATTGCTTCGGTTGCGTTCCACGCGTTCTTCTGTCTAAGAAGGGAATCGATTGTAACCCCTGTCCCAGGATTATGGGCGCCCTTTTTCGTGTTGCAGTTTTCGTATGGTACTGCCCATCGTCCACCCTGAACGTGGCTTCATGCCATCTTAGCCGAGCCGGTATCGGCCCCGCCCACCATTCTCTGCAAACACATTATGCGCGCGCTTTCGTTTACCAAAACATTTTAAGTTCAAAGAACCCCTTGCGCCGCAAACCAAGTTGTGGGTGGGCGGGTGGCATGCTTGCAAGAGCACAGGATGTGTCAACTCGTTCGTTAAAAGCAAGTGCGCCATATGTATTCTTCTTTCTTAAAACAGAAAAGGCCCCCATCCCCCCCCCGAACGTATTTGCCCTTTTTTTCGCATTGCAATGTACATGCGAGTGTGCCCCGTCGTCCATCCGAAAATTTATGTCATGCCGTGCCAGCCAAGCCCCCGTTGCCCCCCTGCCACCCTCTGCAAAACATACAGTGCGCGCGCGTTCGTTTATCAAAGATGACCAGTTTCCAAGAATCCCTGACAACCAATGAGACGAAGTAAGCGCGCGCGAGTTATCGCGCGCGCGTGCCAAAATGCTTCAACATCCTGAGATGTCGGAAGGGTTTCAAAATCGAGTGCCCAAACATATTTCGAAGCCACAGGGTTTCGCAATGCGGATGTTCAAGAAAAGCTCGCGCGCGCGCTCTTACGAACTCTTATTGTATCCACATTTTTTTTTTTTTTTTTTTTTTTTTTTTTTTTTTTTTCTCCCCCCCCCCCTTTTTTTTTCTTCTCCTCTTTTCATTTCCAGACGCAGCTGCCAAGCGGCCTTCGCGCGCGTGTCGAAATCGTTCGAATTCTCTTGCGCGCGTGCCGTCGCGAGAATCTTGTGCAACAGAAGTGGCGAAATGCGCGCGCGTGCCGGAGTCCGTCAAACCCTTTTGGCGGGCAGCGATTCCATCATTTTTTTTTAAAGCGTGCTTTCGCGCTCGTGCGAAGTCTTCAGAAAACCAGGTGTCTTCAACGCTGTCATAGAATTCTGCCAGACGGGCCAGTGGCGCCGCATGCTGGGGTCATTCGCGCGCCCTTGCGCGGGCTGGGGCGGCGCGATCCGTTTCAAATAGTACGATCCGGGCCATTCTCGCGCGTCGGCCGCGCGCGCATGTCGAACTCTGTGTCCATAACCTCCATCACCGATGCGAGGACGCCGTCACCGTCATCGGCGTGATCAGCATCGGCGCCCGCAGTGTCCGCGCCTTCGTCGTTGTCAACGTCGTCGCCAGCATCGCTATTATCATCATCGGGTCTACCGTTGTCGACGTTGCCATGATACCGCGCCCGCCCAAGTCGCCGACTCGCAGTGAAATGCCTGCTGGGATGTGTCCAGCGGTCAGCGCCACCGCGGCCGCGTCGGTCACGCCAAAGTAGCGGGCCGCTGCGCGCGCGTGCTTGGATTGGCGCGGCCGCAGAGACGCACCAGCCAACGCCAAACACTGCCCGCAATCGCCACCGCATGGGTTTTGCAAGCCAAGTTGCTGGTGGGTGGGTGGGATGTTTGCAAGAGCGTGGGATGTGTCAACTCGTTTGTAACAACCAATTTCAAAATGGCAGGATGCAAGCACTTAGTGTTTGAGGTTCAAATCGGGTATCATGTTTACAGGAATATTTGGGGCCACCGAACTGCGCTGTTGTGCCCCGAGCTACAACAACAACGGTTCACGCCTGACATTTCGTCGCAATCTACTCAGAAATCGCGCTGTCGCGCGGCATTTCGCACCATTGATTCAGGAATCGCGCTGTCGCGTGGGACCCCGTCGCAATTTATCCAAACGGCGCGCACTCAACGCTCAGGAATCGCGCTCTATTCTTTTCCCCTTTGTAGGATTCGCTTGGGAATCGGGCAATCGTTGGAGATCTGCTCGCGACGCATGCCGTACTCACGCTTCAGCAACCCGCCTGCTTGACCTGGCCGCTTGGGCCCGCCTTCCCGAACCGCTCGTTAGGGTCTGCCCGCCAGATCAGCCCGTCTGGTTCTTCCACGTGTTTTGTGTTCCCAGCCCCCTCTTGCTAGTTTCGTGCTCCATCCATCTCCCTCCCCCTTCTCTCCGTCCTTCCCTTTCCTGCACTTACTCGCGGCAGGTTAGGACAATTTACCCCCAGGGGAATACGATCGAAAACGAAGAGGGCGGGTATCGAGGGTTTGGGATATACATGTCGACAGACACGCGAGCAGATAAGAACGAACAGTGTTAAAATGTCTGTGTTGTCGTCGTCGTCGTCGTTCCCCCCGTGACCCATCCGCAACCCACCCGCGACCCACGCCCGCCCCCTCACTCTTATCCGCAATTGCGGGGTGCTGCGTATTGGGTTTGCCAAGAGAGTTGCTCTCAGCGACATCGATTTGCCTGTGTCGAAAGATAGTACGGGCAAGCAATCCTGTGGTGCTTCGCTTCGAGTAGGTTTCTGGGGAATTGTTTGGTATCCTGGCAGAGCTGTCATTCGGTTGCTGCTTCTGGTGCTGCCGCGACCCCGCTGCTGCTGCTGCTGCTCCGGCTCCTTCAGCAACTTCTCTTACTCACCCTATTGCCGCTGGATGCCTCTACAGCTTGTACGAGGGCTAATAACAACCTTAGCCTTGGGGCTCTGTACCCTGGAGTGTTTTTCGTCTTGTGTATCTTCGCTGGGCCTCGGGCCATCGGTGAACGGGTTCATGTTCTCGACACGCGTTCCTGTGGCCATGCTTCGATTGTATTTGTGATGCGCAGTCGGTGCCGCTTTGAGGTCAAATCAACCAGCTAATTTTCAATGAGCTTGAAGTAGTGTCGAAATTGCCTACGGTAAACCACCGCAGCCCCCTGCCTTGTGGACAAGTCTATGTGGCCTCAAATTGGGGCAAAGTTTTGCCACTGTATTGGACTATATGTTTCCCAGCCGGTGTGGAAGCCCTTTGGAAGGAAGAGGGGGAGGAGCAGGAGAGGGATGAGGTTGAGGAAGATGAGAAGGGAGGAGGAGGCGGAGCAGGAGAAGGAGGCGGAGGAGGAGGAGGAGGAGGAGGAGGGGGAGGAGGAGGAGGAGGAGTATGAGGAGGAGGAGGAGGAGGAGGAAGAGGAGGAGGAGGAGGAGGAGGAGGATGATGAGGTGGTGCCAGAAAGCCCCCTCGTTACTTGGTTATCGTTCCTTTTGCTAGCGCCATCCCTGTACCGAAGCTCGGTGGTGGTGGGCCGCCCTTCGCCGGGAAATTCAATTCCGGCGGGTCGTTCAAGGAGAATTTTCGCATGCTTGCGCCACATTCATCTCGGACTCGGCCTTAAACGACGCTGCTTGGCCCTCCTGAGCCTCGGGTCAGATTTTCTCTGGTCGCGTCGTCCATTCGGTGCGCCAGCCTGCTCCCACTGCCTTCTCCACGCCAGTCCGCCAGTCCGCCTTCCTCCGCTCTCCTCCCCTTCCGTACCTCCTCTCTCCTCTCTCCTTTCCTTCTGCTCCTTGTTTATCTCTGGCTCGCCTCTCTTCGAGACTTCGGATTCATCCTTTCCCTAGAACCCGTGTGGGTGCTTGGCGTGTGCATGGCTCGCTCGTCTGCTGGCCATAGCCTCTTTCTTTGTTCTCTCGGTGAGAAGAAAGCGATCACCTTTCCAGGCTGCCAGACAAGCGGCCCGTCGTGTCGGGGCGCTGGAAGGCGGCGCTGTCGCGGATCAGCGCGTTGACCGCCCTGGAGAGGCGTCGGTCAGACGAGGATGAGGAGGACGAAGAGGGAGGGCGGGAGGAGGATGAGGATGAGGACGAGGATGATGATGAGGAGGAGGAGGACAGTCCAAAGGGATCCAGATCTGGGCGAATGGGTCTGTGGCCCTGGTGCGACCGCCGCCCAAGGGAGGCGGCAGGAAGACGAGGTGGAGGAGGTGACCAAAAACAACGTAAGCATGAACTTGCGGAGGTCCGCGCGGATGTCTGTTATCGGCGCTGGATCCTCCTGGCGGTGCCTCTGGCGCGCTCCGCGCCTCAGGGAGTCGGGTCCAGCGCCGATCCAAGAAATCCGCGCATCATCAATGTGCAGATCTTTCTTCTTGTGCTTCAGGGGCGCCGACCGGGGAGGACTGGCCAAAGGGGGAAAGGCGCATTCCTCGCCGATCGGGGCCTCGGCGCCCCCAACCTGCTCAGGAACCCCGGTTTTTCCCCGTCGGGGGCCCATCGCCGATCCATCGGCGAAGCGTCATCGGTTCCAGCTCACTGCCCCCCCCCCGAGCCAGTCCCCCCTGCGGGCTCCCCTCGGACGAGGAGGACGGGACTGCAGAAGAATTCGGCCTGGCCCGCAGCATCGCAGGACTTATTTCGATTCGTTCGGTCCGATCCGCGATAATCGGTTTTCGACCGGCTGGATCCGATTCGATTCCGATATTCGAGTGGCTTGCGCCAGTCCTCCGATCCCCAGAGGAGAAGCGAAGTTCACGGTCGAGGCCTTTTGCCTCTTTGGAACCGTTTGAGGGGCCATTTGGGGCATTTGGTTGGGCATTTTGGGGGGTCTGTTGGAGCTTCTTCGGTGTCTGATGGGCGCCTGCTGGCGGTCTCGAAGCTGCTCTGGGCGGAGGGCTCGAAATGAAAGTTCGAGCTCCCCCTCTTAGGCCCTCCGTGAGGCTCTTTTGGGGCCCTCTTGGGCCATCAGGGCGCCTCTGGAGCCGTTCTCGGGCTCTCTTGGGGCGTCTGGGGGCCCTGTTAGGGACCTCTGGGGCCGTCCTGGAGCGATCTGTGGGGCTTCCTGAGCCGCTTTGGATGCTGCTGAAACCGAACGGGTGGATATGCTAATTACGCTACCGAGGAACCCCACATACTTATATGATGGCTGGAGAGATGAGAGCTGCAGTGAAGCATGTGAGAATGATGTTGGTGGCCGTTGCCCCGCCGATACCGCTGTGCCCTGGACGACCGTCATGGATAGCGGCCGCGGTGAGAGACCACCCCCTGCGCACCCCCTTATGGTGTCGAGAATATGTCATGCCTGCTGCGCCCTGGACGACCGTCACGGATAGCGGCCGCGGTGAGAGACCACCCCTTGCGCACCCCCTGTGGTGTCGAGAATATGCCATGCCTGCTGTGCCTTGGGACGACCGTCACGGATAGCGGCCGCGGTGAGAGACCACCCCTTGCGCACCCCCTACGCTGTCGAGAATATGCCATGCCTGCTGTGCCCTGGACGACCGTCACGGATAGCGGCCGCGGTGAGAGACCACCCCCTGATATGGTGTCGAGCCATGCCTGCTGTGCCCTGGACGACCGTCACGGATAGCGGCCGCGGTGAGAGACCACCCCCTGCGCACCCCCTACGAGAATATGCCATGCCTGCTGTGCCTGGACGACCGTCACGGATAGCGGCCGCGGTGAGAGACCACCCCCTGCGCACCCCCTATGGTGTCGAGAATATGCCATGCCTGCTGTGCCCTGGACGACCGTCACGGATAGCGGCCGCGGTGAGAGACCACCCCCTGCGCACCCCCTATGGTGTCGAGAATATGCCATGCCTGCTGTGCCCTGGACGACCGTCACGGATAGCGGCCGCGGTGAGAGACCACCCCCTGCGCACCCCCTATGGTGTCGAGAATATGCCATGCCTGCTGTGCCCTGGACGACCGTCACGGATAGCGGCCGCGGTGAGAGACCACCCCCTGCGCACCCCCTATGGTGTCGAGAATATGCCATGCCTGCTGTGCCCTGGACGACCGTCACGGATAGCGGCCGCGGTGAGAGACCACCCCCTGCGCACCCCCTATGGTGTCGAGAATATGCCATGCCTGCTGTGCCCTGGACGACCGTCACGGATAGCGGCCGCGGTGAGAGACCACCCCCTGCGCACCCCCTATGGTGTCGAGAATATGCCATGCCTGCTGTGCCCTGGACGACCGTCACGGATAGCGGCCGCGGTGAGAGACCACCCCCTGCGCACCCCCTATGGTGTCGAGAATATGCCATGCCTGCTGTGCCCTGGACGACCGTCACGGATAGCGGCCGCGGTGAGAGACCACCCCTTGCGCACCCCCTATGGTGTCGAGAATATGCCATGCCTGCTGTGCCCTGGACGACCGTCACGGATAGCGGCCGCGGTGAGAGACCACCCCCTGCGCACCCCCTATGGTGTCGAGAATATGCCATGCCTGCTGTGCCCTGGACGACCGTCACGGATAGCGGCCGCGGTGAGAGACCACCCCCTGCGCACCCCTATGGTGTCGAGAATATGCCATGCCTGCTGTGCCTGGACGACCGTCACGGATAGCGGCCGCGGTGAGAGACCACCCCCTGCGCACCCCCTTCGCTGTCGAGAATATGCCATGCCTGCTGTGCCCTGGACGACCGTCACGGATAGCGGCCGCGGTGAGAGACCACCCCCTGCGCACCCCCTATGGTGTCGAGAATATGCCATGCCTGCTGTGCCCTGGGCGACCGTCACGGATAGCGGCCGCGGTGAGAGACCACCCCCTGCGCACCCCCTATGGTGTCGAGAATCTGCCATGCCTGCTGTGCCGTGGACGACCGTCACGGATAGCGGCCGCGGTAAGAGACCACCCCCTGCGCACCCCCTATGGTGTCGAAAATTCGGCATCCCCCCAACATACTTATACTATGTGTTCGTCGCCCCCCCAGGGGCGACGCGCGCACCGAGAAATCTTGTAGTATATGCGTCGTGGCGGGCGCTTTCTGGCCACACCGCTCGAGAAACGATATACTACAAGATGGGTATACTATATGTTCGGGTCGGACGCGCGCCTCCAAGGCGGACATATAGTATTAGTATGTCTCTGTGCGTCCCAAAAATATGCCATGCCTGCTGTGCCCTGGACGACCGTCACGGATAGCGGCCGCGGTAAGATACCACCCCTTGCGCACCCCCTATGGTGTCGAGAATCTGCCATGCCTGCTGTGCCCTGGACGACCGTCACGGATAGCGGCCGCGGTGAGAGACCACCCCCTGCGCCCCCCCTATGGTGTCGAGAATATGCCATGCCTGCTGTGCCCTGGACGACCGTCACGGATAGCGGCCGCGGTGAGAGACCACCTGTCGAGACCAGACACGGATAGCGGCCGCGGTAAGAGACCACCCCTTGCGCACCCCTACGCTGTCGAGAATATGCCATGCCTGCTGTGCCCTGGACGACCGTCACGGATAGCGGCCGCGGTGAGAGACCACCCCCTGCGCACCCCCTATGGTGTCGAGAATATGCCATGCCTGCTGTGCCTGGGCGACCGTCACGGATAGCGGCCGCGGTGAGAGACCACCCCCTGCGCCCCCCCTATGGTGTCGAGAATATGACATGCCTGCTGTGCCCTGGACGACCGTCACGGATAGCGGCCGCGGTGAGAGACCACCTCTTGCGCCCCCCCTATGGTGTCGAGAATATGCCATGCCTGCTGTGCCCTGGACGACCGTCACGGATAGCGGCCGCGGTGAGAGACCAGCCCCTACGCACCCCCTACGCTGCTGTGCATGTGCTGTGCTGTGCTGTGTTGTGCTGTGCTGTGCTGTGCTGTGCTGTGCTGCGCTGTGTAAGAAGGAGAGAGGGGAGGAGGAGACGCGTGTGCGCCGCGGCAAGGAAGAAAACCAAAACCCCACGAAACATGTGAGGAAAAACATACGTTTCCCTCATGAATTGGGGCGATTTTTGCCTCTTGGGGCCTTCTGGGGACGTGTTGGACGCGTCTGGGGTCGTCTTGGGGCCATCTTGGTTGTTTTTGAGGCCTCCTTGGCGTGTTGGTGTTTAGCTTGAGCAAGCTTACATGAAACCTTGGGCATCTTGGAGGCCACGTCATACACCAAAGGTTGCTGCAAGGTGGATCAAAAGAGCGCATACGTAATTCACAATATGGGGTTCCGGCCTGGGCGTGGTACCGCGGACGCCCTCATGCTTGTGAGGCGCATGATTGTTTCCGCGCGCGCCAACAACAGTGGTCGGATTTTGGTATTAATATTGGATTGGACAAAAGCTTTCGACATAATCAAACCGGAGGCCATGTGCAAAGCTTTACGCCGATTTGGACTACCCAGTGACATCGTCGACATGATAAATACGCTCCATCTACTCAGCGCTTTTCTTCACTATCCTTGACCATGCCAGAAGCTCCACCGAGAGGCCCCAGAACGCCGGGATTGCACACCTGGCTATGTGGTGACCTGGGATATTCTTTATGCGGGCGACACATTATCAGTATCTCGACATCGAGCGGACCGTTAGGCAATGCTTGTCGCGATCGTGGAAGAAGGGCGCACATATGGTTTGGAACTCAACTGGGGTAAAACAGTGCAGATGCAGATTTCGACACGCGCTCAAGGTCCAATACCATATGGAAGCGATATCACAACCGTGTATGATGGCAAAACCACAACAGAAGTGTCCAGAAGGTTGGGGGAAGCAGCAACGAAAACGTCAAAACAACTTGATAAGTTGTGGTCGCGCTCTTCAATTGGATGGAAACGAAAGTACAAGGTCTACGACAGCGCTGTTTTGAGCAAGCTCTTGTATTCTATGGATTCTCTCTGGCTGCTCAAGGCTGATCGCGCCCGTCTGGACGCTTCTCATTGCAGGACTCCGAGGCGCAATTGAGGCATACCCTCGGCATAAGTACATTTATTTATTCCTCTTCCTATATTTTTATAAGCCCGGGCGGGGGGAAACCCCATCCCCCCCCCCCCAAAAAAAAAAACCGGACTCCCGGGATCTGGGGCTTTGGGGCCTCCAGACGGGCCTCGAAGCGGCCACCGGGCCTCACATGGCGTTTTGCCAAGCCTTCCCAGCACACCTAGGGCGATCAGGGGGGTCATCGGAGACGTCCCAGAAACCTCTAAGACAGCACAAGAGCGCTCCAAGAGCACTCCCAAGAGGGCCCCCCGAGGCAAAAATCATTGATTTTCTGTGGGTTCTTGGTGAATTTTAGGGTTCTCCTCTTTTCGGCTTCCCGACGCTCCAAGACGGCGGTCTTCTGGGCGTCCGAAGCCGCCTGGGAGGCTCCAAAATCGCCCCACAACCATCCGAAAGGGCTTCCAGGCAGTCCAAGGGAGCCCCAAAACGGCACAACACGGGTCCAGGATGGCCCTCAGAGAGCCCCATGGCGGCCCAAGATGGCCCAAAGACACCCTCCGAAGAATTCCGAATCGTGATTCGGTCGTTCAGGGAAACCGCGGTTGGAGGCAGGGTGGCCCGAGGAAGCCCCCAGAGGCCCCCAAAATGCGCCCAGGAGGTCTCCAGAAGGCCTTAAGAACGTCTGAACAACTTTTGTGAGGCCCCTAGAGGCTCTCCAAGGAGGAGCCTCCGCACAAAAAGAGCTGAGGAGGATGGGGAGAATGCGCAGGGCATGGCGAACATAAGGAAAATTCATCAAGGAGGAAGGTTAGCGAGTAACAGTATTATAGCGGCGATGCCAGAAAAAGGCAACCAGGAGTTATCGCTAAATTGTCGGCTTGACCTTCCTGCTATTCCGCCTGCATACCAAACTTGAAGGACCAAGGTGCATGGCGCGAAGCGCCACTGCAGTCTTGTGTGACGCGAGCGTGTTCCGCTATTGCAGATGCTTCTTTCCAGCCCAAAGAAGTTGTGCACTAAGATTGCTGGCCATGGTGCGTATTCATTAGTAAAGCGCTTATTATGTTATGTATGTTGGTCTCTAAGGGACTGGTGTGCGCGCCGCAAGAGGGACTGGCCCTGGCAGCAATGGACGTCGTCAGTACACAAGTTTACACGATATTGTCGGTAACTTGCGCAACCACAACGTTACGTGCATTCCTCAGTTCTTCCTTTCGTTCTTGCTCCCTCTTTGCCTACTCCTATCTTTTTCCGGGGGTTGCCAATGCCGCAACTCATTGTGCCCGCGCGTCCCTCTGGATGCTCGGCTGTGGTGGTGGTGGTAGAGTGTGGAATTGGAGGCTCCCGAGGCACCAGGAAGCGTTGGGGCGCCCAGAGACCCCCCACAGGGCCCCATCTGGGCCCCTTCCCCCTAATCGGATTTCAGACCCCAGGGGAGGGGGAAAGGGCGAGGGGGATAGCCAATCATCTCACACTCCCTTGCACCTCCGGTAAGAGGGGTCGGCGGATTCAAACGATCCAATGTTGCTGGATGTTTGCATGCCGCTGTTGTGCATCCTGGCGCGGACGATTCCGACTCCGTATCGATGCGGTCTGATTCGATGCAAATTCCGATCCGATCCGATCGAATTTTCGATTTGGTGCTGACCCTTCCTGCCTTGTGTAATCGCCGATTCAGTATGCACGCGAGCGGCAAGTCTTCCCAGCGTGGAGCATTGAGATCGAATCCCGCGGTTTGAGGTATCCGCGCAGCGCTGACAAACAAAAAGGCTCATTCAAAACACCGGGAGGCGGCGCGCTAATGGTGTTCACGCTGGAGGCGACTTCGACGATAGCCCTTTGGACGAGGTCTCGGTGGAGTCATCAAGACCGACGCCGAGGAACCACCGAGTTCCCTCTTGTTTTCCCTCCGTCTCCAGGGGTGATGATGAAGAGTAGGAGCAGGAACAGGAGCAGGAGGAGCAGGAGGAGGAAGAACACCACAGTAGTACATCTGATAGTGGCGTCCGTCAGAGATCGAGGGCGGGGCGTGCCCCACGACCCATTAGGCGCTGGTTCCGGACTTTCAGGACTGTTGTATACAAATAGGTTTGAGCACGCGCTCTATATAACCCATAGCATATGCACGCCCATCTACACAGGATTGCAGTGACGCTTCGCACCACACACTTGCTCCTCACAGTTTCGACACAAAAGGGAGGCTTGCGGCTTGTTCAGATGAGCAGAGGATCGCGTCCACGCGGCGAACGTGTGCAGAATTCTGTCAGCTCGACAGCAAACTCAGAGCTGACAGCTGGGTCCACGTTATGCACTATGAGTCAAAAAAGCCACGCTGGCGAATCTTGGATTCTTTCATTTTGTGCGTTGCGCGGTCCTGCCAATGGTTCCGCCCCCTGTTTTTCTGTTCCTCTTGCCTTTCCCTTCGCTCCTCCCCTCCCTCCGCTTCTGGTCCTTTGTCTCTTCGTCTTGTTACCGTTCCTCATTCTCTGCCCATGCGTGCTCCTCATGTTTGTCCTCTTTCTCCTTTGCTTCCTCCTCTTTGTCCTACTCATCCCTGGCATCCGCGTCAACATCCTTCTTGTCTCCCTGCTTCCTCCCTCCCTTCTCCTTTTCCTCTTCGCTCCCTCTCCTCTTTCTCCGCCTGTTCCTCGCTCGGGTTGTCAAGGGGCGCTGTTGGGGCTGTGTTGGGGCCTCCTTTGCCCATCGTCGGGCCCTTTACGTCTCCCCAGGTTTCTCTTGGGACCGCTTCGAAGCCCACTAGGGCTGGTCTTGAAACATGACTGTGCCCTATCGTTCCTCCCTGGAGGGTTTCGTAGAGCTGCTTGGAAGCGTGTGGGCTTTTGGTGCCGACACGCTCTTAGCAACCTCTTGGGCAACCTTTTTTTTCGGCTTTTTTACCTAACAGCGAAGACTGATAGCATTCTAGTAGGGTCAAAAGAGAGCATCATGACTCCTCAGGGGGGTCGGGGCGGGACCCGGGGCGGCTGCCGTCGAAGCCCAAATCGCTTGGGACATCCTCGCAAAATCGCTCTTGGCGCTGCTAGAACTCCATTCCCGGCGTACATTTTGGATGCCCGGAGCCAACTGTAGGCCACTTCGTGGTCTTCGAGTTCCCAGAACTCCATTCCCGGCGTACATTTTGGATGCCCGGAGCCAACTGTAGGCCACTTCGTGGTCTTCGAGTTCCCAGAACTCCATTCCCGGGCCACATTTTGGATGCCCGGAGCCAACCGTAGGCCACTTCGTGGTCTTCGAGTTTCCAGAACTCCACTCCCGGGCCACATTTTGGGTGCCTGGAGCCATCTGTAGGCCATTTCGTGGTCTTCGAGTTCCCAGAACCTGGGCCACATTTTGGGCCACATTTTGCTTACTGGATGTCTCCGTCAGATATCTCGCCACCCGATTCCCGGTTTGTTCTGTGTCGTCATCGTGCAGGGCAAGACGGCGGACCCAGGCGTCATCGTGCACTGGACGTTTCCGCCAGAATCTAATACTTGTAGTAGCAGCGAAGACTGATAGGTTTCTAGTAGGGTCAAAAGAGGGCATCATGACTCCTCAGGGGGGTCGGGGCGGGACCCGGGGCGGCTGAAGCTGAGGCAGGCTGAGGCTGAGGCTGAGGCTGATGCAGGCTGAGGCTGAGGCAGGCTGAGTCTGAGGCCGAGGCTGAAGGCAGACTGAGGCCGAGGCTGAAGCAGGCTGAGGCTGAGGCTGAGGCAGGCTGAGGCTGAGGCTGAGGCAGGCTGATGCTGAGGCAGGCTGAGGCTGAGGCTGAGGCTGATGCAGGCTGAGGCTGAGGCAGGCTGAGGCTGAGGCCGAGGCTGAAGGCAGACTGAGGCTGAGGCTGAAGCAGGCTGAGGCTGAGGCTGAGGCAGGCTGAGGCTGAGGCTGAGGCAGGCTGAGGCTGAGGCTGTGACTGCGACTGCCGTTGCCGCTGCGACTTTCATCGCGAATGCGACTGCGACTGCGAGAACAGCAGAATTCTACAACTGGATTCTCATGTGAATCTCAAAGCGAATGCTTCCAGATATGCTCCTACACATCGCTGTTAGGTTACTTTGCCGGGATAATAGGAGGCCTTCTGGGAGACAACATGAACCGTTAGCCTGCGAAACCGAACGCCTAGAGCAGCTTTAGGTCTCGGACAGCTTCGGGTTGCCTGGTACTTCTCTTGAAGGCTTCGAGGCTATCCTGGAAGCCTTGTTGTCGGTCCCTTCTGACCATGGGGGGGCCATGGATAGCACTTGGACGCCCTTCTGACATGGCACGCTTGCATGGCCCGGCAAGAGAGTCCAGGAGGTCAGGAGGGCCCTGGGGGCGCTCTGCGGGAGCGTCTTGGAGTTCTGGGAGTGGTGGTAGTGATATTCGTTTGGGTTTGGGGGGGTTTCACCAGTCGGGGGGCCCCTGCCCCGTGGGCGTACGAAGACGCCTACGGCGGATCACCGCCGCCCACCGCCCCTCCGGAAGCGCCTATGTGGCCGAACGCTGCGGCCAGAGCTCTGCCCAGCTATCGGGCCATGTGTCCCCCCAGCCGCCGTGGAAACCCCTCGGGGAACACTTGGAGGAGGATGACGGGGAAGATCAGGAGGAGAAGGAGGAGGATGAGGAGGAGGAGGGTGCATCTTGGGAGCCTCTGCGTTCTTTGGGCCTCCAGGGAGCTTCCTGGAGGCCTCTTGGGGACATCTTAGGGGGGCTCCTTGGTTCCCTTGGGGGCCCCCATGGGCTTCTCGGGCCTCTTTGGCAGTCTTGGGGCGTTTCTGACCCGTCTGATGCTGTTGGAAGCCGTCTTGAGGGCCTCTTTGGGCCGATTTGGGGCCCTGTTGCGGTGCTTCTTGGGCGTCTTGGAGGCCTCTTGGGCGGCCTCCGTGCTCTCGGGGCCGTCTGGGGGGCCTCTTCGGCCGTTCTTGGTCCATCTTGGAGGCCTCTTAATCTAGGGGCGATTTTTGGGGGCTCTTGGGCCGTCCCGGGCCATCGGCAAGCAAAATATAAACAAATGCCAACATCCTTCAAACACCGAGTGAAAATGATCCTGTTATTGGGGTCCCCCCTCAACAGTGTAATCGCTCCCTTGCTTCTCTCTTCCTCTCCCTTGCTCTCCCCTCTGCAGCCGTTCGGCTGTCCCCCTGTCCTTTTGCGGAGGGGGTGGCCCCTTAATTCCGCGGGTCCAGGGCCCCGCGCGCGTGCGCAATTGTGGGCCCCAGGTTGGTCGGGTTGGTGCTGCTGACCCCGCAGGTGCAGGCAGTGGTGGGGCCCCCGCCCCGGGCGCCCGGGGGGAGCGCCGGTGGGCGCCATTGCCGGCGCGGCGGCGGGTGCCGCCGCTGGCGTGGTCTGGCAACCTGGCAGCGGCCCAGGTGGGCCCAGCTCGAGCCTCGCCCATCCCGAGCCCCGCGCGTGGGGGCCTGGATGGGGGGCGGAAGAACCGAGGCAGGCCAACCTTTTGGGGAACGGCCAGCCCGGGGAGGTTGTGGGGCAGGGAGATACCTTTCGGGCTCCGGGCCACCAAGCGCACGGCGCCTCGGGGCAAGAGGCCCCACTGGGGGCCCCCGTGCGTTCACACCAAGGCTCCCAAGAGCGAGCGGTGACGTACACAAGCTGATAAGACCAAGGCTCCCAGCAGAGAGCGGTGACGTAACAAGTTCCTGACACCAAGGCCCAGCCAAGGCTCAGGAATGGGCGGCAACGCAACCATCTCTGAACACCAAGGCTCCCAAGAACGAGGGGTGACGTAACCAGCTCTCAACGCAAAGGTTCCCGATACGAACGGTGGTGTGAGTCATTTCGGTTTCTGTTGCTGCAGCGTTCTTTCCGTTTCTGTGCCGGGCCAGGTCTAATGGCCTTCGGCCCATCCCGCCACCGTGTTTGGGTTGTGGGTCAGAGTTCCCAGGGACGCTTATTGGGGTTTCCTTGGGGCGCTCTCGAAGGCCTCTTGTGGACAGTTGTGGGGCCTCTTTGGGAGCCTCTTGGTAGCCTCCTGGGGTCCCTTCGGGGCCGAGGGTTCGAAATGCCCGCTCGGGTTCCCCATCTGGGCCCCCTCTTTGAGCCGTCTTTGGGGCCTCTCGTGCCGTCCTGGGCGCCTCTTGGGCCGTCTTGGGGCCCTCTTGGGCCGTCTTGGTGCCTTTTTCGAGGCGTCGTGGGCCGTCTTGGAGTGATCTTGGGGGCCTCTAGGCCCGTCTAGAAGCGTCGGGAAGCCGAAAACGCGAGAATGCCAAAAACCTTCAACCACATGAGGTAATATGAATGCGGGGCCGAAGGATCATTCGCTTCCCTTGGGTGTGTGGCTGACATGGGCTTCCGCGATGCGGATCGCTGCTGTTGTTGTTGTTGTTGTTGTTGTTGTTGTTGTTGTTGTTGTTGTTGTTGTTGTTGTTGTTGTTTTTGTTTTTGTTGTTGTTGTTGTTGTTGGTGTTGTTGTTGTTGTTGTTGTTGTTGTTGTTGTCGTTGCTGTTGTTATTGTTACTGTTGTTGTTGCTGCTCTTGTTGTTGCTGTTGCTGTTGCTGCTGCTGTTATTGATGTTGTTTTTGATATTGATGTTGTTATTGTTGTAGTTGTTGCTGCCGTTGTTGTGTGTTTTGTTTGTTGCTGTTGGTTGTAGTTCGTTAGTTGGGTAGTTAGCTAGCTAGACAGTTAATTACTTAGCTACGTAGTTACTTAGTCAGTTATGTAGTTCGTTTGTGAGTTAGTTTATGATTGTCGTTGGTGGTGTTGTTACGGTTGTTGTTGTTGCTGTTGTTGTGTTGTTATCGTGTTCGTTCGTTAGTTAGTTAGTTTTTGTTCTTGTTGCTGTTGTTGTTTGCTTGTTTGGTTGGTTGGTTGTTTGGTTGGTTGGTTGGTTGGTTTGGTTGGTTGATTGGTTGGTTGGTTGGTTGGTTAATTGGTTGGATGTTGTTGTTGCTGTCGTCGTTGTCGTCGTTGTTTTTTTCCGTTGTCGTTGTCGTTGTCGTTGTCGTTGTCGTTGTCGTTGTTGTTGTTGTTGTTGTTGTTGTTGTTGTTGTTATTGTTGTTGTTGTTGGTGTTGTTGTTGTTCTTTCATTTCTGAAGAATAATTATTGTTGACCCCCCCCGTCCGGTGCACATTGTTTTTTCGATTGAGGTGCCCTTCCCGGGGCTCGCACCCTGTTTTTTATCAGGGAAAGTCTTGAGGGTCAAACTGTGTCGTTGGCCCCCAGTTTACAACCGCAACGGCTCCCGCCTGATACTTCCTCACAATTTATTCAAGAATCACGCTCTCGCTTTGGACTTCCTTGCAATTTACCACCGGATCGCGGCTCCCGCTTGATATTTCCTTACAATTTATTGAAGAATCGCGCTCTCGCTTGGGACTTCCTCGCAACTTACCGCCGAGTCGCCCGCCTGATACTTTCTCGCAATTTATTCAGATGCCGCTCCTCGATACTCAGTAATGGCGTTCCCGCTACATATTGCCTGGCGGTTTAAGCAGAATTTGCGCTTCAACGACCCGCCCGCTCGACCCGTCCGTCTGGGCCTGCCCGCCCGACCAGCCCGTTAGGGACTGCAGTCGCCGCTCGCTGCCCTTCGCTGCCTTCGCTGCCCCTCGCTGCCCGTGCTGGTTCCGCGGTTGCCTTCGCTCGCTGCCCTTCGTGGCCCTGTTGCTGCCCTCAGTGGCCCCGTCGCTGCCCATTGTGGCCCCGCATTATATGCCCTTCGTGGCCCCCGCTCGCAGTCGCCCGTCGTGGCCCCATACGCATGCCCTTCGTAGCCCCGCTGTCGCCCTTCGTGGCCCTCTCGTTGCCCTTCGTGGCCCCTTTGCTGCCCTCAGTGGTCCCGCTGTCGCTCTTTGTGGGCCCATAGACGCCCTTCGTTTCGTTTTCAAGGGCTTCACCAACCACACGTGGCAGGGAATGAATCTACCCCCCAAAAGGGGGTACGATCGAAGACGAAGAGGGCGGGTATCCAGGGTTTGGTATGTGCATATTGAATGACACGCGAGCAGAGAAGAACGAACAGTCTTAAAATGATTGTTGTTGTTGTTGTTGTTGTTGTTGTTGTTGTTGTTGTTGTTGTTGTTGTTTGGCGTCGTCCCCCCTGCGACCCGGCCCCTGGCCTACCTGCGACCCACTCCGCGACCCGCCCGCGACCCGCCCGCGATCCGCCCGCGACCCACCCGTCGACCCACCCGCGACCCAACCGCGACTTACCCGCGACCCACTCCGCGACCCGGCCAGCGACCCGCCCGCGACCCACCCGCGACCCGGCCAGCGACCTACCCGCGACCCACCAGTGACCCACCCGCGACCCATCCCGCGACCCACCCACACTGTTCTGATGGATGGATCGGCGCCTGCGGCGGGCTCTTTGTCTAATTTCTAAACATTAGGCGCCTGCGGCGGGGTTTCTTCAAAGCCTCGCAGATTGCAGACGTCCAGGCCGCCCCCTCGCTGTTATTCGTAGATGCGGGTTGCTACGTACATGATTTTGGCCTCTTGGGGGCCTCTTAGGTCGTCTTGGAGGCCTCTTGGGCCGTCTTGGGGTCATCTTGGGCGTCTTGGGGCAATCGTTCGGCGGCTCGGGGCCCTTTTGGGCCGTCGTGGGAGCCTTTTGGGGCCCTCTTAGACCATCTTGGGGCCCTCTTGGGCACGGAAAAGTCATTCGTCAAGACGCGGGGAGCCCCCGACACACCGCGACAAACCCCAGGAGATTTTGTGAATTTGGGGTCCGGTTTCCTTGAACCCTTCGGATCGAAGACTGAGGCTCAGGGGATTGGGCAGGAGACTTGAGGATGCGCCCGCTCCGTGCCCAGCGCCACGGTGGCGGACATTTATACATGGAATTGTGCATATGTGGGACACCCCCAAGGCCCCTATATTTTTTTCTCACCCTTGCTCCTGGGTGAATGTAGGTTTGGGTGGTTTGCGTTTTCCAGTTTTGCGTTGGCATCTGTTAACCACCGTTAACACGCGCGTATTGTGCAGGTCTCTATATGCAATGTTCAACGCCGCTATCCCAGAGTTCCATTGGCGAGAAGCATTCTGGAGCCACTTGTTCAGTTCCCTGGCGCAGAACCACCTGCAGCATCGAAGATGGTTCGGCGCTGGAGGGATGCAAATATTCTTCGGGAGTGCGCGAGCGCATGTGCGCCGCCCGCGCAGCGAGTGCCCGCGTGCCCCCGTGGTGGTTGTGCTCAGAGCGTGATCCGTTGGGCGCTTGTTGAGCTAGTTTACTGTAGGCTCTCCAGTCAGGGAACAGCCCTTCTCTGAGTGTGTGAGGGTGCTGCGGTCGTTTCTGCGACGGAACCTTCCTGTCGCGCCAGGAAAACCATGCCAGCATAACAAGTTCGGGTTCAGAGCGCGTCCCGCTTGGCTTTCTGTCGCTGTGCTGGCTTGAACATTTTGAAAGATCCGCAGAAGGGACGGACTCCCGTCTATCCCTTTCTTTTCTACGTCGGCCGTAGCTAATGGGCTCGAGAGGTTTTTTCGTTACACCCACCCGCACAACTTTTTCCGAGTTTCAGCCCATCTAGAAGGAGGCTAAGGTCGCCTGTGCGACGGAATTCGCCTCTCGCGCCAGGAGAACAATGCGTTCCCCTCCCTTTTGGGTTTAAAGCTTGTTTAGCTGGGCTGTCATAAAGATCAGGAGGAACACGATGTGGGTCACGTGCAAGAATCCCTCGAGAAAAAAAGGCCTTGCCGTGTGTTGCAGCGTTGGTGAACGGAGGGCTGTCGTTCGGGGGCCGCCACTTAGGCACACGTGCGTGCGCCGTCTGTCCATACCACAATAATGCTGAGATGTCTGATGGTACTCAGGACGTGCGCCAGTTAACCCAACGTGTGTTCATCCCGTTCAGTTCTACCGATTGCACGCATCACGCATCGGCCCTCATTACGCTGCCTGATTGCTTCGGTGGGCAAGCGCATGTGTGTTCCAACGCGCTAGCGAGGTTCTGCCAGCCGTTCTTCAGGTGTGGGGTTCCCGACAGCGAAACTCAGTTCTCTCGTGATGCAGCGTAGCTGAGTGACCTCCCCGAAGACCGCGCATCGGCGGACAAGCACACGCTGGCGATAAAACGCATTCTGATGATAATCGCTATTTTAAGAAGGACGCAGTGATTGCGATGAGCTTCCAATCCGATCTGCAGGCGCGCGTGCAATACACCGCCCCTCCCGAAATTCCCAGTGTACCGCAGGACAGGCGCTGGATCTTCCTCGTGCGGAGGCCCACTCCCGCTCTGTTTCCACTTGCATATTCTGACTGGGTTTCCTGCAAGGGAGAGCATCGTTTGAGCGTGACGGCAGAGTGGGAGGGCTGGGATTCTCAGGAGCAGGCCTCGGATCTGACCAGGGGCTCTCTGGAGATTTCCCGGGTGAGATCTTTTTATTCGTGGGAGCGCAGGTAAGGTCAGGCAAGTTGCGCCTGATGGCTCGCGGAGAAGGTCATTCGAGTATGGATCTTCGGTCACTCTTCCCACAATGATCTGATTTTTTTCCTAGCACTCGTATGTAATATAACGGGCGCTTTGGTCCCTGGGCCTAGGGCCCCCACTTTTTCAACACTCCCCCACCCTCCCGGGTACCGACTTTCGCCCTTGGGGACCTGGGGAAGCTTGGCGGCCCAGTAGCACCCAGCTGACCCCCAGACAGCACCAGGGCGGCCTGAGTGCATGCTCCAGCTGAACCGAAAGCGCCTACAGACAGCGGAGACGCTTCCCTGACGGCCCAGGAGACTCCCAAGACCGGCTTAGGAGGCCCAAACATGATCCCTGAGAGGCCTCCGAAAGCACGACAACATTGTGGTTTAGTGTATTTGTTCCCTATATCCTAAGTGGGATTCTTGTCTTCTCTGGACAGCCCTGAGCAGGAACAGGAGCATCAGGAGAAACACCCCATCACCATTATTATCACCATCACCATCAGTATCCCCATCCCCATCACCATCATCACAATCATCATCATCACCATCATCAACACACCCACCATCATCATCAGCATCATCATCGTCATCATCGTCATCGTCATTATCATCGTCATCATCGTCATCACCATCGCCATCGCCATCGCCATCGCCATCGTCATCGTCATCGTCATCGTCGTCGCCATCGCTATCGTCATCGTCGTCGTCATCATCATCTTCGTCATCGTCATCGTCATTGTCATTGTCATTGTTAATCTTCATCGTGGTCGTCATCATCAGCATCAGCATCAGGATCATCATCACCATCACCACCACCATCACCATCATCACCATCCTCATCACCACCACTATCACCATCACCATCATCATCATCATCATCATCATCATCATCATCATCACCACCACCATCATCATCATCACAACTATCATCACCATCAGTATCATCAACACCACCACCACCACCATCATCATCACCACCATCATCATCACCATCGTCATCACCATCGGCATCATCAGCATCATCATCAACATCGTCAGTTTCATCCTTATCATCCTCATCATCATTATCAGCATTATCACCATCACCACCACCACCATCAGCATCATCATCATCATCATCATTATCATCATTAACATCATCAGCAGCATCAGCATCAGCATCAGCATCAACATCAGCATCAGTATCAGCATCATCATCACCATCATCATCATTATCATTATCATCATCATCTCATCATCATCAGCATCAGCATCAGCATCATCATCATCACCATCCTCAGTATCATCATCATTATCATCATCATCTGCAGCATCATCATCATCGTCATCATCATCATCATCATCATCATCATCATCATCGTCATCGTCATCGTCATCAGCATCATCATCGCGGGCGTCGGTTAGATGGTCGGCGAGGGAGTCGGCGGCTTGGTTGGTGCATCAGTCGGTGTCTTGGTCGGTGCGGGAGTCGGTGCACTCGTCGGCGCTGGAGCCGGTGATATGGTCGGCGAGGGAATCAGCGAGCTGGAAGGTGGAAGAGTCTGTGAACTAGTCGGTGCCCGAGTCGGTGAGCTGGTCGGTGCGGGAGTCGGTGAGCTGATCGGTGCGGGAATCGGTGATAGGTCGGCGAGGGAATCGGCGAGCTGGTCGGTGCATGAGTCGGTGACCCAGGGGTGCGACACGCCGGCGTCCCCCCAAGGAGGGGTTGCGACACGCCGGCGTCCACCCAGTCGGTGACCTGGTCGGTGCGGGAGTCGGTGAGATGGTCGGCGAGGGAGTCGGCGAGTTGGTCGGTGCACGAGTCGGTGACTTGGTCGGTGCGGGAGTCGGTGCACGTGTCGGCGCGGAAGCCGGTGATATGGTCGGCGAGGGAGTCGGCGAGCTGGAAGGTGGAAGAGTCCGTGAACTGGTCGGTGCGGGAGTCGGTGAGCTGGTCGGTGCGGGAGTCGGTGAGCTGATCGGTGCGGGAGTCGGTGATAGGTCGGCGAGGGAATCAGCGAGCTGGTCGGTGCAGGAGTCGGTGACCCGGAGGTGTGACACGCCGGCGTCTACCCAACGAGGGGTTGCGACACGCCTGCGTCCACCCAGTCGGTGACCTGGTCGGTGCGGGAGTTGGTGAGATGGTCGGCGAGGGAGTCGGCGAGCTGGTCGGTGCAGGAGTCGGTGACCTGGTCGGTGCGGGAGTCGGTTGTGGTTTTGCACATGCTGTGTGTGCTCACGGTTGCGGTGCTGGTCAGGGTTGTGGTGCTGCGCTTGCTGGATGTGGTCACCGTGGAGGTGCCGGCCCTTGTTCTAACACATGTTGGCCTTGGTCACGGTGGTGGTGCTGGTCTGCGTTGTGGTGTTGCCCATGCTGGACGTGGTCACGATGAAGGGGCTGGTCACAATTGTGGTGCTGCGCATGCCTTTAACAGATTTAACGCCGTTTCTCGCTAAGCCGCCGGAGGCGGTAGACACGTTAGCTTGCACCGAGCCCCCGGGCAATAACTGTCACGGGTGGCCCTCTGGCACTTCTGGAGTCAAAACTGTGTAATCTGGCCCTGGGCGGCAATTTGCCTGGCTGGGGCGTTACACAAGTTGCGCTGCCAAATTTGTTTTACCATCGCTGTGTCGTCGGAGGCCACACCGGATCACAGGTCCCTTCTGCTGTCCTCGTCGTGTGGTGCTGCGCGTGGTTGATGTGGTCGCCATGGTGGTGCTGGTCGGCTGTGGGTTTGCACATGCTGGATGCGGCCACGATGCAAGTGCTGGTTAGAATTGTGGTGCTGCGCATGCTGGACGTGGTCACGGTGGAGTCGGTGAGCTGGTCGGCGCGGGAGTCGTCGAGCTGGTCTGCGCAGGAGTCGGTGACCCACGGGCTGGGAGCCGGTGAGCTTGTCGATGCGGGAGTCGGCGAACTGGTCGGCGCAGGAGTCGGTGACCTGGACGAGCTGATGATGATGAGGATGCTGATGATGATGCTGGTGATGATGGTATGGTGATGTGCTGATGATGGAAGGTGGTGCGGCCGACGATGATGCTAACCATGCTGTTGGGGATGATGGTGGCGATGAAGCCTGCGATGACGATCATATTCACAATGCTTGGGATGTTCATGATGCGTATGGTGGTGGTGTCGATGATGACAATATTGACGAGGGTGACGACGATGATGATGATGATGATGATGATGATGATGATGATGATGATGATGATGATGATGATGCTGTGATGATGGTGATGGCGATATAGAGGATGATGATGGCGATGCTGATGATGTTGATGCTGCTGCTGCTGCTGCTGATGATGATGATGATGATGATGATGATGATGATGATGATGATGCTGATGATGCTGATGATTATGATGTTGATGATGGTGACGATGATGCCGCTGCTGATGATGCCCATGATGATGCTGATCTTGATGATGTGGGAGGAGGAGGAGGAAGAGGTGGAAGAGGAGGAGGAGGAGGAGAAGGCGGAGGAGGAGGAGGAGGAGGGGGAGGAGGAGAGGGAGGAGGAGGAGGAGGAGGGAGGGAGGAGGAGGGAGGAGGAGGAGGAGGAGGAGCAGGAGGGAAAAAACAGGAGGAGCAGGCAGAATAGGAGGAACATGATGAAAAAGAGAGGAGGAGGAGGAGGAGGAGGAGGAGGAGGAGGAGGAGGAGGAGGAGGAGGAGGAGGAGGAGGAGAGGAGGGGTGGAGGCGGGGAGGAGGTGGAGGCGGAGGCGGAGGGGAGCGGAGGCGGAAGCGGAGGGAGGCGGAGGCGGAGGCGGGAGGCGGAGGCGGAGGCGGAGGCGGAGGCGAAGGCGAAGGCGGAGGCGGAGGCGGAGGTGGAGCGGAGGCGGAGGCGGAGGCGGAGGCGGAGGCGGAGGCGGAGGCGGAGGAGGAGGGGGAGGGGGAGGGACAAGCTAGGTGCGCTCGCGTCATATCTGACGTCCTACCCCTCCCTCCCATCCCTTACCATGGCGCTGATTTTCTCTATCCGCGGACGCGTGTCGTAGCGGACCTGTGGCTCCGCGCGCGCGTGCGTAGTGGGTGGTGGTGCATGTGCGTGCGTGCGTGCGTGTGTGCGTGGTTGTCGTGGTGGTGGTGGTGGTGGTGGTGGTAGTGGTGGTGGTGGTGGTGGTGGTGGTGGGTGGTGGTGGTGGTGGGTGGTGGTGGTGGCTGGTGGTGGTGGTGTGGTGTGTGGTGGTGGTGGTGGTGGTGGTGGTGGTGGTGGTGTGGTGGGTGCTGGTGGTGGTGGTGGTGGTGCTGGTGGTGGTGTGTGTTGGTACTGGTGGGCTGTGTGGTGGTGGTGGTGGTGGTGGTGGTGGTTGTGTGGTGGTGGTGGTGGTGGTGGTGGCGGTGCGGCGCGGTGGTGGCGGGCGGATGGGCGCGCGAGAAAAAGGCCCGCGCTGGGGCGAGAACGCCATCCTGAACGACGGAGGCCAAACACCGATCCGAAAATGAGGCCCACGCTGCAGCGGGAGCACGATTCGGAACGATTCGGGAGCAGAAATGAGGCCGGCGCCTCAACGAGAGCAGCATTTTGGGAAAAAATGACGCCGGCGCCTCAGCGAGAGTCGTTTCCCGGGATTTTTCGGGCATCCTGTGTGTAAAAAAACAGTACGCGGAGGGCGCGCGGCTGTCACCCGGACGCCATCAGGGGAAGGATTCGGGAGCAGAAATGAGGCCGGCACCTCAACGAGAGCAGCATTTTGGGAAAAAATGACGCCGGCGCGAGAGCAGCATTTTGGGAAAAATGACGCCGGCGCCTCAGCGAGAGTCGTTTCCCGGGATTTTTCGGGCATCCTGTGTGTAAAAAAACAGTACGCGGAGGGTGCG